AGTGATTTCTCTGTTCAGTACTAATTCCTTTCTTCTGTTAATTGCAGCTATTATATCAGAGTTAATAGAAGCAGCCAGATTAAAACAAAATTCTAGCTTGAAATTTCACCCTTAGATTTGATAACCCTTAACATAAAAAACAATGCATAAATGACTAACCTTTTAGCTCTTGCTTTCTTCTTATCTCGCCCTTTGCCTTTCTCCTCCTCTTTAAAAAGACATAAGTTAAAGCGACTAGTAGTGATATGATGATAATTATAGAGACAATAATAATTCCCACAACTACAGATGCAATGCCTCCTTTGTCTGCAAAAATCAAAATGGCCTCTGAACATTTATAGAAGGGATACAAATCCAAGCGAAAAATACAAAATTCAATAATTAAATTAAAATTTCCCCTTAAAATTTGAGTTTATCAAGTTCGAACTTACTAGGTGGGGTATTAGTTATCTGTGGAGGAGAAATTCTGGGTGGTAGTGGAGGAGACGGAGATGGAGATGGAGCTTCAGTTGATTCATAAAAGGGATACAAATCCCAGCGAAAAATACAGCTAGGCCTCAGAACGTAACCTCCTTGCTTCCCATGACAGCAGGTCTCGAAGTAAGATACAGATTGACGAAGGCAAGAGTCGCAATTACTCCGGGATAAGTCTGGAGTACACTGCATTAAGGCGTATATCTTCTGAAAGAAAGTCAAATTAACTTCTTCAGTGGCAAATTTGAGCTTAAAAGAACCCATAGAGGCTTTTGTAACCACACGATCCATTAAACTTTCCCAGGTCTGATCAAACTGTGTCAAATTCGTAGTGATATTATTCACATTATAGCCAGCATCGCTAGGATCCGTCTCCAGTAATCCAATAAAAGACCGGTCTGCATAGCGTACAGTGCATCGAGGACCTGCTGCCCATGAAATTGCTTCTTTTTGGTTGGGACATTTGGTTATAAGATCATGGGTTGTGGTATTGACACAGCTGAAACAAGTTTCTGAAGAAGAATCACCTCTGCAAAGTGCAAGAGCATAAACTTCGTTGGTGTCTTGGCCAATAGTAGCAGTATAAAAACCCCCATTTGTTGATACATTAGAAGCAAGATTTGAAAGGATAAGGTTGCGGTTCTTGCCATAAACACTGTTAGTTGTGAAGTTTCCCGTATCGTAACATGTCTGGCCATTGCTAAGAGTGATGCCTATAGACAGGTAAGTAAGAAGACGAAGGAGATTCGTGAAAGCCATGGCATGTTCAAGAACCCTCCTGTGTCTAATTTAATCTAAATGGATTAGTGAAGATGAAACAAGATACAAAACTTTAATAACTCAGAGATGGTGATCCAAGTGCAGGAAATTCTGGCTTAATAGACTTCAGTCTTCACAACCTATCTACTTCGCGCCAGAAATAGTGGTGAGACCGTGAGACTTAATACGAGGACTTTGACCGTGAGAGGATTTTTTAAGACTATAAAATAATGTTGTATTTTTCTTTAAATATTAGTCCATTTTATTATTTTTTAATAATTGTTTATTTATCTTTCATTTTTCTTACAAAATTTAAAGTAATATTACATATGAACATACCTAATAATTGCGTGTAGAATCAGTTAACCTGAGCGTCAAAATTCTGTTTTTGCGTGTGTTTCACTTTGACATCAGCCAGCCAGTGGTCGTCCCTTTCGGCCTTAGTACCAATTTGCTCAAAGTATATTATTTTTCCGGAGACAAATTCATTGAACTCGTGGAAATGATAATATTCACATCATAGATACCATTTTCTGACTGATTCAAAGAAAATTGATATCAAGAAAATTGTAGAGTGCTGAGCAACACGACTTGATTAACTTGATATCAATTTTCTTTGAATCGGTTTTTCTAAAATTTATACTAATAATTTCTATTTTTATGGCCACTGCACTTTCGCGCGAACTCACTACTTTTCGGCCAGTTTTCGACTGTTTTTGACGCCGGAAATTCCCCCTATCGCCACCATTCGAACCTCCATCCTCCCCTCTTCTAAACCCCAAGCTTCTCTGGCTCCCTCCACTCATTGTTCGCCGCATGGGANGGCAATCTAGAGGTAAAGAAAATTTCTTCTCTTTCTCTTTTTCATTTAAAAAACTCAGTTTTTATAGTAATGGTGGGTATAGTCATCTGATGGGTTTGGACGATGAACATTCTTGGGTAGTGTTTGAAAAAAAACACCTTTAAGAATGGAAACTACGGGCCCATATCCTAAAAAAACCATCCTTAAGAATTTTTAGGGTTTAAGGAAGAGAAATAAGAGTTTCTTTTACTCTTTTAAGTCGTCGTACGAGGCAATGTGTACGGAGACTGAGTCACCTCTACATGTCGCACATTTTCATATTTTAAGAGCAATGGACACTTCTAAGGTAAGAACAGTAGGAGAGGGAAGCTCGCGGCCACTGGGCTCCTCAATAGGTCCCAAGTTAGCGGTACAAACAATAGTTACAGGGGAGGAGATACAAAAGGCGACAAACTAGTTTGCGATCAATGTAAACGTCTACCAACACAGGTTGCACACTGCTCAGGACCCTCCCGAGGGAATGGCTACAATCTTGGAAGTGATTTTTAAATGTGGAGTGAGGATACCCTTCCACCCCTACATCAGGTTGATTCTTGACCACTTCCAGGTCGCACTGTTCCAATTGACACATAATGCATATATGATAGTAGTCGCTATGTATATTGAATTTGGCAAAAACAACCTAGGCGTGCCGATGGCAGTGGAACTCGGTTGTGCCTATTATCTATAAAGGAGTAAAGACAAGGATTCATACTACCTCTCTAAGCGATTAACGATCGAAGGAAGGATATTTGGTTACCCCAATAATGTCAGGACTTACGAAACCAAGTATTTCTTCGAGTATGATAGAGTCTATAAATTTAGGGAACCAAGTAGGTTTTCCTTTTAGTTCTTAGACTACCCATCCTCTATCTTTAACTCTCCTTTGATAATTAAGGCTAATGAAAAATTTTTTTTTTTTTTTTTTTTTTTTTTTGCTTTCTTACAGAAAACAAAATGACTAGATTGTCCGTGCTAGCTGATTTTAGCCGCATTAGGCATTTGGTCACTTGCCTGAATAGAGTTGTAACGTGAAGCTGCTCGTGACTACCACCAATGTGCGAAAGTATGATTTTTTCAGCCCCGAGGCATCTTTGGAAGCTCCAACACGTAAGTAACTTCTTTCATAAAAGAATTTTTAAGTCTTTTACTAACAAGAGAAGACTTTTCTTGTTGATTCATTTTCATGCCATGCAGCGACCATGCCACCAAGGTTCCCAAAGACATCAAAGAAAACTGGGAGGTTCACATTCCCCAGGATTAACCCGACCAAACTAGCTGCAACGACTTCTAACGGTATCCTTACAACGGGATACGAATTGGTGCTGAAAGGCCATTGAGCGATGCAAAGAAGCTTCCTAGCCCGCGGCTACTTGGGCTTCGAAGAAGAAGACCTTGGGCTAGAAGTCCAAGAAAAGAAAGTAATTACACGCTGAAGAAGACATTGAATCTGAATCAGAAGACATTGAATCTGAATCAGAGGGTTTCGAGGTATTGCCAAGCGGGCATCTACCATATTAGATCTTTTCTATGGGGATGCCCTCAAGAGAGGCTCTTGGGACTTTAGCTGCTCCCAAGAGCTTGAGAAGGGGAGAGGGAGCGACCACAGTAGCCCAAGGGGCAGTAGGCGAGCAATAGGTCGAATGAGCACTTGCCTCCACGAGGCGAGACCCGTCCGTGCTAGATTAATTAGGGCAACTATCGAAACATTTACAACCAATGGTTTACACCCTCCTGGAATGCCAACTTGCCACAACCTTTAACGGATTTGTGGCTTCTTGACCCGTCGACTTAGTGGCCATTGCACTCCAAATGCAAAGTCAGGTAAAGCGACATGTTCTCTTCGAGAACTCTTCCTTACCAGTTGAAGCTTTAGTTTTTTAAGAACTTACAANATCTCCAAAATAGTAGCCGTCATTTCTCCTTCTCTAATCTCTCTTAAAAACTACTTAAAGACCCTTATTTATGGCACTAGGGTTTGGAGGTTACTTAGAAAAGAATTAAATGCCTTCACCCGTTCAGATTCGGACTAGGAGAATGCAATAACTTAAACATGCATGTGACCCATCGCTGCGGCGATAAGAACCATCTCTGCAACGATCGTTCTTTCTGTCCAATGAGTCTGTTATCTTCAGAATTTGGTAAAGTCATAAACATGAACTTTGTAGCTCCCTGAATAAGCTTTCCAAAGCCACAAGAATCGTCAAATTCTGATTTCTACAGCTCAAGTTATGATCAAAACAGCGAAGCATGCTCATCTTGAAGAATTTACAGATTATACGTTGTATATTCGACGCGTCACAACTTTCTCATTTCAACTCCGATTCTTGCACCATTTGTTCCTACGCATCATAAATTCCATCGACATCATTATTTTTCCTTCAAATATTGGTTTGAACTTGAAAATACTCAAAATACACCCGTGATCCCATAAAAGATATTTATGAAATAATTAATTCAAATTCCACAATTTAAACACATTTTTCCATAAATAATCCAATTAAATCACTAACAAAATGTATACCTTCAAGCTCTTATCACATGGATCTTCGAGTGTTACACAAGCGACCTGAGGTGATCATTCCAAAAAGGCTTAATGACCTATGTCGGATCCTACTCAGTGTTATAACAATGTGTTTCGAACTTTATCTGTCATTCACGACATGAAAACACTTAGGATATTTTGCTATCAAAAACTGGGAATCACTTCGCTTCGAGCTTGACACATGAAGAAGAGTGTTTTATTCGAACAACCTCTTCAGATGTTATCCATTGTGTTTGACAACTGTCTCAGTGAATTAAATAAGCTTTATCTGATAGACGTGTCTTTGTGCAAAAAGTGTCAGCCATGAGCATTAAATGCAAGCCATAATCCATTAGCAGAATTAACCCTTAAGTCAACAACTACAAATAGCTCTAAGTTGGATTAGGAGCTAAGAGATCATTAAGTTCTATGGATTTACCAGAGTCCTTCATAGATTGTGGTAACTAGCCTAGCATTCTGCTCAATCTATGGTTTTATTACCTTCAACTAATCAGTTCATCTGCTCAGATCTCAACCAACCCATGATATCATTCACACCCTCGGATCTTAAGGAATTGGAAGCATTACAACACATAATAAAACTTCGAATTAATGCTCATAAGATTAACACAATAAAGTCACACATATCATAAATTGAGCTACATCTTAGCCCTAGCAACGGATTTAGTTCATAATTGCAGTAATCAAAACACCATTGTTCAAATTAAAAGATTCACGAAAGAACCTAGAAAACTTTCTCTACTTGGGCGAACAGCCTATTTTGTTTTCTTAATTTTATAATTTGCATCTTTTATATTATTATTTTAATTTTTTATAATATTTAACAATTATATAATAAAAAATATTTTTCTTTGATTTATACACTTATTATTTTAATATTATTAGATAAAAAAATATTTTTTGATTTTTTTATATTTATTATATTATATTTAATTTATGTTTTGTTTATTTTATTTACAAGTTGATAAGACAAAAGGTTGTCTGTGTCTTTTTGTTAGATCTTGTGTATTAGTAACATATTAGGCTAACGATGCTTACTTTTTGGATAAAAATGTCGTGATATGTTAATGTTTGATTTTGACACCAATAACTCGCACATACAAAATGCTAAGTTATTCTTAAAAATTACATGTGAATGATTGTAGATGATCAAATGCAAAGACTGAATAATAAATAAAAGACGATTTTAAAGTGGTTTGGATGCTTAAAGCGAATCCTACATCCACTGTTATCTTATATATGAGAAATTAAAAGAGGTCACGTATAGCGAACAACGAGCAGAGTTACAATGACTGATTATTCAGATAAGATATCAGGTCAGTCTATTTCTCATAGGTTATCTTTGCTCTAAGAATATAGATTACAATCAGAATGAGGGTTTTTTTGTGTATTAGAATCTTGAAAATGAGAGGGGGAATCTTCTATTTACAGTAGAGGAAATCAAAGTAATGATTGCAAGTCTGTAAGTGCGCAAGTGTCGTGCAAGTCATTCCTTGCTCCCATTGGCTGATAACTTAGAATATATCCTCAAGTTACTTGGGGCTTGGACAAGTGTGTGGCTACCATTCACTTATAGACAAAATCTGAATCTGCCATGTTGGTGGCAACTGTATTCTCTCTATCTTGGGGCGACGTGGCAGCTTCTAAATGATGCAAAGTCTTCCTGAACTCTAATTGGAGCTAGCTAATGTAGGCTTACATTAGCCTTGATTTTTTAGGCATAACAGAAGCTCCCCAATTCTTAAGGTTCAAGAATTGAATCTTGAGAACTTCATGATTATGCCACGATCTAAATTGTCCCAAGGAG